TTTTAATAATAATTACTATTATTAGTGTTGTTATTATTATTAATAATAATAATAATAACACATAATTAATATTTTTATTTAAATTATTATTTTTTAATTTTAAATTATAAAAGTGTTTTGGAAAAATTATTTATTATTATTATTATTATTGTGATATTTTCATTGCAAGTATGCACTGTAAAGTTATAATGCAGTAATGGAAATCATTGTCATCACAATATTAATTTAAAATAATAATATGTTAATAATAAAAAATGTGCATGCATTCAAAACAACACAATCCCATGATGTGTACAAAATATTAAATAGAATATTTTTCATATAAGCAAATTATTTGTCAAACATATCAGTGAAAAAAATCATAGTGGACTGTAATTGGCTTTTTTTCAATATGCAAATTAAGCTGCTTATTTTTATTTGATTTTGGGGTAAAATAATTGACGCTACTTGGCTGTTTTTGTGACATTCACCCTATTATGGTAAATGTTTTTCTCACCCACTTTTACAAACTGAGGAAGAAGTCAAAATAGTGTTTGAAACCTTGTTGAAAACAACCCAGAATATTCCTTTAAACAAGTCGCAGGACTTTATCAGCAGGGATTTTGGTATTGCATATTTATGTTTTGGCTTTTTCATAAATTTTAAGTTAATTTTTGAACGTCGATCTCTCAGGGACTCCATCTCATTGCCATCAGTCATGTTGTCAGTGGAGTCTCCCTGCTGGTCTGCAGTCAGATTTCCTCCCAGATTGAAGTCGCCTATAGATACTGATCTGGGATCAGACTTCATATTTCTTAAGCACTGTGATATTTTGCCCAGAGCCAATCCTGGATCAGTATTTTGGTGCAACTTTGCAGTGGAGTGGGAGAATGACGGACGAGTTACTCACACGCTTCCTCTCTTCACAGGATTTAGAGATGAGGACTTCGTGGGTGGGAGGAGTCGAGGAGGCGGTCGCCCTGGCGACAGAAGGGGGGGCGGAGGAGGCATGGGACGCTTCAGAGATGGACCTCCTCGCGGAGGCCAGGCAGACTTCAGAGAACCCTCTGACGGTGTCACACATTTATTCATTCTGAAAAAACTTACCTCTATATATCTGCTTTAAAGTCAACGTGAAATCATAATGGGCCGTATTTACTCTCAGTACATGTTCCTGCTCAGACCTCTACAGTGCAAGCAAATCACTTACATAAGCAAAAATGTTTCAGTTTAGGCGACTAAATGTCTAATGTTAGCCTTTGGCTACTAAAGTGGTAAATTTCACTTGCCAGTGTCTGAGTTAAGCCCAAAGTGTTCTTCGTTTTTTTATGTGTCCGCAAGGTACCGTGTACAGTACATATAATGCAAATTTCAACACCAGATTAGTACGCACCATCGGTTTTTGTAACGGCACGTACTTTGTACTTGCAGGTCGCGATGCGCATTGAATGTGTTTTGCACGAATCAGTTGTTCCACAAGGTGGCAGCTCTGACCCGGGCCGCTGTTTTTCAGTAGAAAACCAAACTAAAGAGACTGAACAACAACAGACGGCTGTGCTGACGAGTGTCTGTGAAAGGGTTATGAGAGAGCAGCAACTTTAGATTAAAAAGTAGAGCTGGACAAAGATGAAGCTTTCTAGAGCTCATGTGTCGACCGCCTGTGCTAAATGTTTGTCTGAAAGCATACGCTTATGTACATGTAAAAAAAAAGACAAGTATACTTTGGGCTTTAGAGGCTAAGAGTAAGTTTTTCTGTTCACCTGCACTTGAACACTCTGACTGGGCACTTAAAAGTTTTGCTTTGTCATTACAGAGTCTTACATGGCTTTCAAAATGAGTTTGTTCAGAATTTAGTCTTTAAGAGCAAGCAAAAGCCATTGCTGGCCTGTTCTTTCGGTAGTGGGCGGGGCTAATGCACAGACATCGATCTCATTGGCTAATGCTCACCTTTTCCGTCCATGTTTTAATTGCTGCAAATCAATTCGAGCAAACACCGATAATGTAATAAATATGAGCAGCTTATCAGACCTTAGATTGTTTTATATAGTATTAGTGTAGTAGTATTTCATTAGTAGTATTGTTGCTGTTTTTTAAAGAATTGACTGATTGAAACACCACAAACCTATAAGTTCTAACATAGATAATGTTGATTTTTTTTTTTTTAAGTTGTGCTTTCAAATCATATCACATGGGATTGTATGTTTGTAAAAAAACTGCCATGCATACAAAACATTTATTAGCCAATGCAGATTCTGTTGCCAAGGTGTGTGTATAGATGGTTGGTTTTGTGGATGTGGACAATTCATTATTTCAAAGGGGAGAAAAAAAAAATCTTTGCAATGTTTTAGCAAAATGCTGACTTTCAGCTGAACACCAAGGTAAACCAATTTGTTAATATTAGCAATTTAGAGTTAATGTTAACTAGACCTTTACCATATCAGGTATCTATGTTAGTGTAATTATTGGCCAGAATTGTAATATTGCTGCATCTATAATATTACCAATAGCAACATTACTATTTGAGTATTGTTTTAGGGTGTAATGCAACTGAATTCTTTTATTATTTAAATGAATATATTATAATTGAATGCCAAATAATCAATGCAAAGAAATGGATTCAGTCAGAGGCCCAAATAAATATGGCCTGATTCCTGGGACAAATTTTTCATCCTTTCCACAATTGACAACACAAACTCTCACTTAGATTTATCACCATTGTTATTGAAGGGCCAATTTTTATTTCTTTTTTTTGATCCAGTCAATTCCCAATTGATGGCCCAACTTCACTTTTTGAAATTTCAGAAGTAAAATGGGTTGCACATACCATTTCACGTTGACTTTAAATGATGTTTTTGGCACTTGCATAAATTATACAATCACACCTAATGTCTCGATTTCTCATTTTTCCACAGAGGAAAGAGCGCAGAGACCAAGGCTACAGCTGAAGCCGCGTACAGTGGCAGCTCCCCTTAACCAAGTGGCCAACCCCAACTCTGCCATCTTTGGGGGTGCCAAACCCAGGGAGGAGGTAATTCCCAAAGACAAACACTAAGAGACTGCAGCCTCCCTTGGCGCTCCAGAAGGATGGAAGGGAGGGTGGAGGAGAGAAAGAAGGGGAGGGATATACGGGGAGGGAAGGGCGAGGTCCGGGGCCGACAAACAGCGACGGAAAAACGTATCATGCCAACGGGAATGCGATAAGGCCTCTGTCGTCATTCCTACCTGTTAGAGATGAACAGAGTCCCTACGAATTCAGATCGCGCGTGACTATTTATTCAACCGGGGAAAAAAAACACACAAGACCACGCCCACTTCGATCGATCGTCATGACACCTGCACACACCAGCGAGCAGCTTGTGAATGCATGGCAAAACTGTTTAACAATGGTTTTATGTCCACCTTTGCTTCCCTGTAATTAGTGCCTGCTCTGTACTGTAGTTTTCGTCAGGGGAAAGTTCTTTCACATCCTTGGTGAGATCCGAAAGGTTTTTTTTTTTTCGAGCTGCTCTTAAATGGAATGGAACTGATTTTAAATGTTTTTGTTTGTTTGTTTGTTTGTTTTCTGGCTCGTTTTATAGCTGTAGACTAAACTACACACGTCAAGCCTTTTGATCGTGCGAAAAATGACGACACCGATTTGGTTTGTGCGCTTTTCTTGCGGGGCAGCTAGCTAACGTTTCCACAGTTGACATTCGTAACGACGTTTGCGAAAAGCAGTATTAGGTTTATGGGATTGAACGACCGTTGTTTTGAGATTTTTCTCTTTGGCGTGCTTTCCTCACGATTTCAGCCGATTCACGTACGCAAACCTTCGAACGCACACTGGATTGTACATGTGGTGCTTGTCCTCTCCCGAGTCCTCACGGTGCGTGTAAATTGAGGTTAAAGCACAACGTAGTCCAGCTGTACAGTCAGTGTTCGGTTTCGGAGCCGTGCGTCTTAGTAGATCTACACAGTGCAATCTTTCTGTTTGTGTTGAATTGATTATAATATTGCAGAATGTCATGTGCAAAATTCACCATCTCCTACAATGGACCCTGTGTAACCATCTTGTTCTTGTTTTATGTTTCCGTTCTCTAAAGAATTAGTATCTGTGTCAGTGTGGCTGCATTATTCCGGAAGGCTATACTGGATTCTACTGGCTTTGATCACCATAAAATCTTTCAAAGACTTCAGTGACACGCAGGCAGGGGCACGAGGTGCTGGTCTCCTCTCGAATCCAAACGAGCCCTCATCCGATTGGCTTAAAAAAGGACGTGGAGGTGGGGGCTCTAGAAAGGGGCGGGGCTCAGTCTTAACTCCGCCTCTGCCTGTCCTCGCTGGCTCCACCCACACGCCGCAAAGAACCCAAACTTGGAGGACAGCATCTCCAGGTTGATTGCGTTTAAGGACTTCGACATCTCTTTCCCTTCCCAAAGTACCTTTGTGTTTTTGAATTTGTAGACGCGCGGACGTAATTGCCGCCGTGTCCTTTTTATATTTTGCTCTTTACATTTCTTTGCTGTATTTGAGGATTAAAAGGTTGAGCTTGATTCTTAATTAAACCATTTCAAAGTGAAGAGCTTTTTGAGTTCTTGTTGCCTCGTCTTTACGAAAGATTTTCCCAACCTGACCAAATCCTGGCTCATCCAGAGCTTTCGGGAACAATGTGCCACATGTTTCATTCATTTAGAAGAGTATGCATGATAGGTTTGGTTGGTGACACAAGGGTCTACAGTCTACAGCGACATCCACAGCTTGACGGCAATGTATTTCTTTCCAGACCAGAAAATCTAGTAGAAACTATGAACCATAACACCATCAGTACTGCCTTTCCATATGAAGCTAATTGAACAAAAATGAACTGCTCGCACATTTCCAGACACGCCAGTGACGCCAGGCGCTGCTGTAGTTTCATCGAGTGTAGAGTCCTCATGGGAAATCCTTCTCTTCACATTTTACTGGATATAAATGAGGAAGTTCGTTTTTTTTTCTTACTGTATAATGGAGGTCAGCTGTTTTTATTCTTTTGTTTTTTCATTTTCCTACACTGTTAATGGCAATAAATTGTATCATCTTACAGTGTTTGAAATGAATGTGTTGACATAGGATAACGGGATGAATTTATTCTGTGTCCTGTGAAGCTAAATGGTGTTTGAGTCATTTGAAGTACAAAAATAAGTTATTTTACCTAAATTCAACCTGGCAGTTGGTTTATCGCAGGAATTGTGTCGTAAGCTTCGAGAACAAGGTAACAGAACTTGTCAATGCAAGACACAAAGTCTTATCTTTGTTGGGTTAACAATGGTCTATACACTGAGTCAAACACAGGAAGTCTTTATTCTCAACATAGGAGACACGTGATGAGTGATTGTTTTGCATATGTAAAGAATAAAAGATTTGAAGAGGAGTCCCTGGGTTTGGGGTGTCAAATGATCTAAATACAAGGCAGTTTGGCGGGTGATTCACCAAAAAAACAAACTTTGTGAACAAAATTCTAACAAACTTGTGTGAGTCTCATCTCCCTGTGTGTTCAATAGAAGGAAATTTTGAAGAATGTTGATAACTAAACGGGTGACTAGCCATTGATTTCCATATTTTTATCTCTTTTATTGCAGTGGCTACTTTCAATTATTTGGTTACCATATTACTATTTTGCGCTCAACAGAAGAAAGAGACTCCAACGTGTTTCAAACAACTTAAGCAAATTACAGTTTTCATTTTGGGGTGAACTGACCTTTTAATGTCTTGCGTTTCATCCTTAAAAATTCAGGTTTGACAGGAATAAAAACAAGATTGTGTTCAATGTGTAGTATATTTTAACATTATGCCAATAGTTCAGCTGACAAATTTCACTAGACGAAAACCCCACAAAATAGATTGAACGTTGGGTTTTGAACATTACGTGATCCCGTACCATTGTAAAATTCTTTTAATTTGTGTAAGTCTATTCCTCACAGCCTCGTAAAATTTATATGCTGTGACTATACCCTAATGTCTAGTATTGTGAAAAAAAAAAAAAAAATATATATATATATATATATAACAAAGACTGCTTAAATGTGTAAACATATTTGAAATAAAAATGAAATAACCTTTTTTTTTTACTTGACGCTGGAACAACATGACTGTGGTCAATATGGATCACGCTCATGCCTTGAACAACAACAACAAAAAAGTAAATGCTGTATTTGGAAAATTCTAAGTCCAGGTTTTAAAATATCGAGTGAAAGAATGCAATTATTTATATTTGTGGTGACTTTGAGTCCTCCCCCTGTTGAAAAAACCAGCATATGCTGGTTAGGTATGTTTTGACGCTGGTTTAAGGTGGTCCTTTGCTGGTTTATGCTGGTCCTTTGCCAGCACATGACCAGCATAAACCAGCAAAGGACCAATTTAAACCAGCAAAGAACCAGCATAAACCAGCAAAGAACCAATTTAAACCAGCAAAGGACCAATTTAAACCAGCATCCCAGCGTCAAAACATACCTAACCAGCATATGCTGGTTTTTTCAACAGGGCCATGAGCTTCAGCTCTTCAATATAATCAATAAGATTTGAAGTGAACGAGAAAACGAATATGGACTCTAACCGATACAGTCAAAAGTTTCACTACGTTACATACTCAACTCTACAACGATAACGAACTTGAGTAAATGATAAAAGATCTTGTGTGTCACTTAAGCAAATGTAACAAAACAAGCTAGATTCTCCAGTCAAGCTACCATGCACGTTATTTCTTATTCCAGCAGAGGTCGCTGTCTTCAGCCTTAAAATTCTATCTGATCCTAATTCAGTTTCTCAGATCAGAGAAAATTAACTGTCTATACAATGAGTTCGGCAATTGACGTTTCCTTTAATGGGTCATTTCTATTATAGGCTATTTTTGTACTATTCTGAAAACGAATTCAATAGCTCGTGTTGTAATTTAAGAAATTTCTATGAAAAGATATAAAATACTTCCATAAATGTACTCTGGTTGTTCTCAAACATTTAAACTTATAAGCTGATTATTTACACACACACACACAAAGATGAAAATAAAGCTAGCTAGTCAGATTTCTTTCTAATAGCCTAAGTTACTGATATTTGTGCTTTTGTCTTACCGCCAAAAAAATAACCTCTTGTAGTTAAATGACTGATAGGGTTATAATATGACTAATTAAGACGCAAAGTATTATTTGGGATATGAGAAAAATATAAATTATGAAAAATAAAAGCAATATGGTGAGACATTAAAGTATGATTTCCTTTTTTGAGTTCCTTTAATATTAAGCTTCCTAGAGGAAGTTTAATTCATATTTATTTATTTTTTACAGAAAATTAGCAGAAATAACCATATTATACTTACTATTATATTTAATTTCTGTTATTTTGTTTTTATATATATATACATATATATATATATATATGTGTGTGTGTGCGTTCGTAACTCAATGAGTGCGTCAAACGCGTTGACGTTCGACGTGCGCGTTCTCGTGTTTTGAAGTAGTCGTGCGCGCGCTCCTGTAACGACTCGACTCTAGTGCCTCACAAACCGAGACATCTGAAGTGCGTGAGTTTGTCCAAGTTCAACCATAAAATTAAAGTCTAATAACGTCTTTATTTGTTCGGTGAGGATTATCGATCAGTTCAGAGTTGTGGACATATGCGGCTGCGGTTTGCGAGCGCTTCGTTCGAGGTAAGTTAAGTTTAATATCGTCCTCGCGACTGAATAAAGAGGGTAGAAATTACACAAACTCTGCTGTCTTTTACTTTCCCTCGCATTGTTATATCTCTTCAGTGTTTAAAACGCTTTAATGTCAGCTTTGTCACTGTAGTTTTCGCCATTAAACTCTTGGTCGCATGAAACTTCAAAGTGTGATACTATAGTCTGTAATGTGCTAATACTTCATTATGTTGGCTATACTGTAAACTATGTTTATATAATCCTGATACAACGCTTTAAAGTGTGTGTAACTGTATAGAATCCAGTGTAACTTATATAGTGTATAATTTCAATTCTATAGTAATTGTATATGCTCGTTTTACTTTTCTGCTAACGTTACACGGTTGGTCTTGGTCTTGAACAACAGTTGTCCTGTTTTAAAGAGGAAGTTTTAGAAGAGTGAGCTAACACACGGATGTTTGAGGTTTCCAGGTCATTGTGTGAGCTTTGAATCGCGAAGCTGATTTGCACAAAGAGGAGGATATGATCAGAGTAATGTCCAGATCCTCGCGTTCAGCACGCTGCCTTTGCTTCTTGCTTCAAAGGAGAATGGGCTTTTCACAGCAGAAGCACTAAATGTGTTTCTTTGTTTGGTTTCTCTTTATAGATGTCAATGGCTTGAATTTTATATCCCAGGCTGTCTGTATATGAACCTCACATTTTACAATCACTGACTCATTTTCAAGGTGAGAACACTAATTAAACCTACAACCTTTTATGCTAAAAATAAAATTACAATGCTATTCATACATTCAATTACCTGAATATACACCTATTCATTTAAAACACGATGAACATGTATTTTTAATGGCTGAATTAAAGTTCATTTTTCCAAGAGTATGAAGTAAAACACGTCAGGGTGGATTCATTGTCCTGATATCATAATGAAGAAAAAAAAGTCTCATTAAAATAATGAAATTCTTGAAAAGAAAACTTTTGGCATAATATTTTATGGTTTCTTAAACAAACAAAAAAAATGAACATGCCGCTCACAGCTTCATAATATTTTAGATACTATTTTTGTCTGCCAAATCAAGTCATATGGCGCAACTGCAGACAAAAAAAAAAAAAAAAAAGCATAAAATTGGAAATGGTATCATAGAGGCTTAAACTTTAAAAGATCAGATAATTTGACCTTTTATAACATGGCAAGATTAATTGAAGTTTTAAAATCTCATAAAATAGTTTGACTCCTTAAAAAAAAACAATGATATTTATAAATTAATAATTCATGATATTTGTAAAGATGACACTTAAAAAGTGAACATGTGTTCAAGGTGTAAAATAAAATAAAAATATTACACTGTTTTACGTGATGGTTACACCACATAACATTTTTAAAATCATTCAATCGAAACTGTCCATAGAGTTTTTTAAAACCAGCATTAAAAAAAAAAGATTACATTCTAAGAACTTGGCACATGTGTTTTAAACTAGAACTTTAAATGATTTTTTCAATTTTGTTTATTTTTGTGCCATTCAAAATTTGGGAAGTGTGATGTCATGATGATGATGATGTCATTATGACTTGCTGCTGATGTTAACGAGATCTTTTTCGCTGTGGCGTGACCCCCATTTCTCTGCTTTGCAAGCGTTGGTATTTCCCTCAGAAAATGCAAATCGAGTTTGTTCTACTTTCTGTAACAGTGTTTCCAGCGCTGCTGATAAGCCTTGGGTTATTTACCCAATAAGGACCCAGTAATGGCTGTTAAATTCTTGTGCAAATAAAGATCTAAACCCAGATTCAACATTCTAGTAAACTATATTTAAACATTCTATTTAAAAGCAAACAAAAATAGTCATGCATTAATATGTGCTTTATAAGTACTAATAAACAGCCAATATGCTACTACTATGCATGCTAATAAGCAACTAGTTAATAGTTCCTTAATCTAAAGTGTTGGTGAGGCACATTTTAATAAAAATATACTATATAACATTTTGTCAATGATCTCATTTATTGTATGTTTGAATAAATCTGTCATTAAAACAAGTTATGACAGCCAACAGTGACTTGGAATATCATTAATCAATATCATTAACATCACATAATCACATAAATATATCACAATCACATAAATATAATCTTTAATATCACTGCTATTCAGTGCTGTAATTTGACGTGACCGGCTGAAGTTGGACGTGCACCATGGGCAGACCCGACTAATCGATCATGAGAATCGTTGTCGATTATTTTCATTATCGATAATAATCGATTTTATCGATTAGTTGTTGCAGCCCTACATAATATCATTAACAAGTTAATATAACATCTGCTTTATGTGCAGTTTCAATTTTTGTATACAACTCAGATTTTATGTTAATTTGTTATATTTATGAATATAAATTGACTTTGTTTATTTTAACCTTTAATCTAGTAATATGCCAACTGACAGGAATATATATATATATATATTATACAGTGACTTCAGTGCAACTCTTTTGTGATTTAACATGTTTTAAAATTAAAATTAATTGTAGACATTTATTTACTTACCCTAGGATAGGCTCCAGCATCCCTCCAACCCTGCATAGAGCAAGAAATTTGGAAAATGTAGATGGCTATATCTATTTATTTATTTGTCAAAGATGTTATGGTGGTATAACCATCCTGAGCTAACAATTAAAACAATAAATATTATTTACAACAATCTTTGTCTTAAATTCAATAAGTCATTGTGGTGCAACCAACATGCAAGAAGCTAGTTTGTTGTTGTGACAGGTAAAACCCTCACATCCTGCTATCTTAGACTCTCATGAGTGTCAAAACCAGTAAGTCTCTCAAGATGTGTAAGCTTGCATGTATTGTGGTTCAAGCAAAATGACAATACTTTTTACTTGAGAGTTGCACCACTTGACCTCACAGTTTTCTTGTCATTGTGGAGGTTCTGTTAGCATCTCTTAGGCTGATCAGAACGGTTTTGGATGTAGCTCTAAGGGAGATTATTTTCTTTTTTTTTCCAGGTTTTGTCAGAGTAACAGGATCCTGTTAGCTAGTCTCTTTCTTTGGGCTTTGTTGCTTTTTGAGGCAGAAATCAACCTGATTGCTTGTTCTTTCAGTGCCAGGAGAATCTTGCTGGGTCACCATGACAGTAACTGTGTAATGGCACTGGTTAGCACTGTAGGCCGTGAATAGAGTGCCACAGGAGAGTCCGGCCAGTTCTGCTGGGTGTTATTTGACATCTCAGTTGGCTTTGCTTTGTAGTCTCTTCATGATTTTTTGCAGCATGGCATCGTCTGTACAATCACCAAAGGGCATTGCAGCATGTCCCAAAAGTAATATCTGTAATATTCTCTCTTTATTGGCCACTGTTGCCAAAACTAGAGAAGGACATGAGTACCTGGCAACGATTGATCATGAAAACACAATCACGTGATTTAACTCTTTTGTTTTTGTTTGTTGTTCATCAGACACCAATTTGCATCAACACTGTTCACACTTGACTTTCAGTCTGCCGTTTGCGGTCAGCACTCTGAAGATGATTAGATTTAGATTGCAAATGAATGGAACTGAAGGTCTTGATGTTGTTTTGAAACAATCATTGCTGAAATGTGTATACTGTATTTTCATGGTAATGAATTGCATTACAAAAACAGGTTAAAAACAGTGGTGTCCTCTTAAAAACAAGTAGGCCTATAATAACTTTTTTTTTTTTTTCAAATGACAAAAAGAACTGAATGTTTAAGTACAATAAGACAAAACACAATAAAATATAAAATAAAACGAATGTTTACAGGTTAAAGTGCAAAAGAACGAAACTGTGAAGAACAATAACAAAGAACCAGAACATTTTAAACCAATATCTAGATATCTTTTTTTTTGGACTGATATGTTTTAGTCCAGATTAAAATGTGAAAATGTGTAAGTGTAAACAAATGTTTAGAATTAAATATTAAGTCTTTAAGTATTAGGTGTTGTTTAATAAGCACCATTGAGAATAAAGAACATGCAAATACTGTTTGACTTCCTTCTCCATGATAGGCATGTGTCAGAAACAGAAAATTGTGCACCACCACAACCAGCGTTTTAACCAGTTGATGGAGAAAAAAACCCTAATGTGCAAAAATTAGAAAATATACCTAGAATTATTCACCTTTTTTTTGAGGTGCCTATGATAACAATACTGTCCATGTTCATTACCATAGTATATTGTATTACCAAAAACTAGCAAATGTCTGTTTGAGAGCCATTTTTGAACATTTTAATGACTAGACTTCAATATGATGCATGTTTAGAGCACCAGCAGATTACCAGAAATCATTTTCGAGGTCAGACAGCTTTGATGAAAAATTAGAAAGACAAATGTTTTTTTAGGAAGAATATGTCCTTTAATTAAACATTGCACAATAAGACAAAAAAGAGGTGTCAATTTTGCTTTAATGTTGACAATAACTACTAGGGCTGGGTTTTGACACAAATTTCACGATTCGATTCTCATTCACAAGCTTTCGATTCGATTACCGATTCGATTCAATATCGATTATTTTGGATCTATATAAGGTACAGTACATGCCAAATTTTCTCAAGGAAAACAATCTCTCAACTAATGCTGTAAAATATACATGTAATTGTTTGAATACTGCAATACAATGGACAGAATTTGAAATCTGAGACTTTTTCATATTAAAAGTACCAAAGCACAATGCTTATTGCGATATATTGGATGGGAAGTGCCGTTCAAAGTTCCGTCCATTAACTGAAAACAGGCTAGACTAATCGATTCTTGGGATTATTTTTTTTTATACCAGCACATCTTACTGGTGTAATATTGCTATCATGGTAATATCCTTTGGACAGTGGTGTATGGAGGGAGTTACCCACGTCTGCTGTTTTTACCATCCTGAATGATTTATCTTATCAGCTAATTCAAACACTGTGACCAAACCGTGAGAGGTGTAACCATGGTAGTGCTACTGGATCAGCCAGCCTTTATTTGGCTGTGAGTGAGATAGGGAGTGTGTGTGTGTGTGTGTGTGAGAGAGAGAAGGATAAAGTGTCATCCTAGTAGGAGTATTGCACAGCTCCTGTGGTTTAGACGCACCCAGCCTTTGAATAAATGATGGAAGTACTACTTCTTCAGCCAAATGACTTCAGCTGAGAGCTTGCCGGCCATCCTGACTGATGCTGGAAGAACTTTTTCATGCTGTTAATTCACTTCCGAGGGTATTGATTTGAGCAGACCAATCTACTTTTTAAGAAAGTACATCCTTTGTCTTCTCAGAGTAAGGTGGATTGATTGTATTTGAAGACTGGGTTGATTGAATTTGTGGTGCGATTAGCTGTAATCTAAGAGTCTCTTATCGAACTCTTGCAGTAGGTGTGGAGCATGTGGGCCAGCTGCTGCGCCTGGCTCTGTCTGGATGATTCCACCGTGGACGACACCAGAAGTAGCACACGTCATCAGGCCTTCACCAACTCGGGCTTCAGCAGTTACCCATCTCCCCCCGCTCCAGAACAGACATGCAAGGCCTGTGGAGGTCGCTTCGACAGCCACGCCAGAAAGGTAATCATTTTTATACTGATGTTAGTACAAAATGATGTCAAGTGCTTGTGAATGGCTTTTTTTTTTTAAGGTTTAGTGTTGTAGTACATGTCTCACATGGTCATGGAAACACTGGAAATAACAGGGAATTTTAAAATTGTTGACCTGGAAAAGTCATGGATATTTATATAATGAAAGAGATTCATGTTTGTATGTGAATGATTTTTTCCATTTAACGATCCTTATCCAATCACACATTGACTGTTAAGGCCATGGAAATGCATTTGATTAAAAAGTCTTTGAGGGGATAGTTGACCCCAAAAAGAGTTTATAAAACCGATTCCTGTTCTTATTTATGATTAGTTAAACCATTTGAAGTAAAATACTATATAAATCAGGCTAGTTGACATTGGAAATACTAGTAAACTAGTCAAAATATAGTCTTTTTGATGTTATGTTTAAAAAAAAATATATATATTATTTTGAAAATTGGATATCTGGATATTCACTAGGGGTGCTCCGATCAGGATTTTTGAGGCCGATCACAGGAAGCAGTATCTGCCGATACGATCACCGATACAGATCTTTTTAAAGCCTTTTTTTTATCATGTAGAATTATTTATAGTGATGATCCAGTCAAGATTTTTAGACATTTATTTAGGGCCTGAATTTCATTTTTGAAAATGAATTCCCCTCTTAGGTGAGTCTTGTGAGAGGGGATTTTTTAATTTGAGGGGTAGAGGGGGGCATCTTTTAGACATTTTTCAAAAATATATATTTATCTCACCTAAATGTTTGATCATGCACTGCATTTTTGTTTTGACTCTTTGGGATGGCACAATAATGCGTTGTTCACTTGCAGAACGCAAGCTTCTCTCCAATCAGGATTTTTGAGGCCGATCACAGGAAGCAGTATCTGCCGATACGATCACCGATACAGATCTTTTTAAAGCCTTTTTTTTATCATGTAGAATTATTTATAGTGATGATCCAGTCAAGAT